ATTAGTTCTTTTGGGCCCTTAGTCATATGGAAGACAATATGCAATTATGGTTGAAGAGCCAGGGAGAATTCTGAAAAATAAAAAAAATAATTAAAATTACTAAATTCTAAATAAGTAAGTTTTACAAAAATGTGTTGTTATTTGTAAGTTTAATATTGTCAAAATCTATTAAAATGTTGTTACCAAATATGATTTGGGATTTAATAATTTTAAATTTTTTATAGGATTCTTTTCAAGAGTTATTGGTGCAGATTTATTTCCTATTTTATAATTTATAATAATACTCAAGTGAATAAAGTAAGTTATCCTGTATCCTCCTTTTCCAATGGATTTAATTTCGGTTTTGTGTAGTTGGAGGGTAAGATGAGACTAGGATTATTTGTTTGACTTCGTCAAGCTTGGTTTTAAATTATAATGGTTCGATACATGAAGCCATTTGAAATCGATTCATCGAGGACTTTTTTTGGAGAAAATTATTTTAAAGCCCTTGATTAGAAAATTAATTATCTAAAGGTACTTAAGGATCTATATTTTTGAGCAAGTACAAACTTTTCCTCAACTACATATGATGTATATTCAACTATGTGTGTAATAAAAAGCACTTGTATATAGTTAAAGATATGTTGCACATAGTTAAGAAAGTTGCACTTATTTAAAAACTTGGGTCCGTAGATATTTTCGCATAATTAATTTTTTAATCAGAGACTTTTAACCTTTTTGTTAATGTTTTCCCCCTCATGTTCTTTTGACTAATTATAGAACTTGTGGAGGGTAGCAAAGGGCTGTATGAAAAAAAAAAAAAACGTGGGTCACATAAAATGATTTTTTTGCCATTTTTCCTTAATAAATATCACACCAACTGGTTTTGTATATTCTCATCACAAATCAAATTTTTTTCTTATGTGATTATACTTTCATATCAACATTCTTACCTCTACTATCCTGTCTGTATGCTTTTGTTGTTCTTTTGAAGCCTTTAATTATCTAGTAGCGTTGTTGGCCTTTAGCTCACCAAGTTCTTTTCAGCCATTAATAGTTCTGGCAACCTTTTAATTTAGTCTTAAATATAATATTACAGTTCACTTTATCTTTCATATTTATCTATTTTTTTTAAAGTATTCTTTGTAATAGTTACACATGTTAAATACGCAATCAAATGATAGTTAGCTAATACTACCTTCGATCCTTAATATAAGAACTGATTAACTTTTATTTTGATCTTAAATATAAGATCCCAATCCATTTTATCTCTTATGTTTATCTATTTTTTCAAGATAATTTTTATAATAATGATAGTTTTGGTCAATACATTTAATTAGTAAAGACATCTTAGAAAAGACAACACTTATTTATTACAAATAACTAATTTAACTAGTTTTCTTAATCTACTCAAATTAGTCAACTGGCTCTTATATTAAAGATCGGAGGTAATACATGATTAGCATGGGTATTTTAAAAAAAACAACGTCTAGTTATTACAAATAACTAATTCAACAGACTTTCTTAATCAACTCAAATTAGTCAATTAGTTCTTATATTAAGAACCATGGCTAGTATATAATTAATCACTTGTGGAATGATCTGATCTTTGATCCATTTTTTTGGCCTTGATCTTTGATCCATTTTAACTTTTAAATCATTTCTTAACTTGTTTCTCATATGTATGTGTATTCTCTCTACCTTAGTCGTAATAAGGTGGAACCCCTAAACTATATCACTCTATATGACTCAAGCTAGAAACATCCAAATTTATAACCATGATCAAATCTCCAACAATAACCACAATCAAAACACTAACACACAACCAGCTTAAAAAAAGAAAAAAGAAACATCTCTGATGAATCATCCAACAATAATGAAATTGTACTAAGAAGGTGTTTGGATAGAAACCAAATTATAGTTTTAAAAGTGATCTTACGATATATGAAATAAATATATAGAGGAGTTTGTCTCGAGTTGCGAAAAATACTTTTAAAAAGTAATTGTGTAGATATCCAAATGCATCCTAAGAAGTGAAAATCAAAGTAGACGCGGCTAACAAGCAAAAACAAATTCCATTGCACTGTTGGGTCCTTCTTCATCTTATAATCGCCAACAAAACACTTCACTAGAACCACCGCCTTGGATTTCCATCGCTCTCCTTAGTTACTTCACATTAATCTATGAGACACAGTTTAACCCAAAAATATATAAAAATAATAAATAGTGCGATCCATTTCTGGATTCACATCTTGTTAGCGTAAGCTATAAGGTATTCAAAATAGAAGACCTGTCGTATGTCTAGCCAGAAGAATAAAGATACAAGCATTGCTTTTGAAATCTTGCTGCAAGTCAACTAATATATAGTGGCTGACATTTAGCTAGAGGTTTTGCTTTAATACCCTCTGCTTTTGAGCTGTTTAGCTAATTCGGGCAAATTAAGGGAATAAAATAAATTACTTAATTCTAACAAAATTGATATGATCTCTCCAAATTAAATACTCTTCTGTAACATGAGATTATATATCAGTTTATAAGTTAGATAAATTAGCTTGAAAAAAATTAATAAACATAAAAGATAAAATGGATTACTGTTTTATTTTTAGAATCAAAACCAACTCTCTAACTAGCTCATACATTTAGGATCAAAGGAGTAATTATTTTTAATAAATTCGTCTTTATCGGCTTGACAAGTGTGAGAAGGAAACATTTGGCCCTTGTTTTTTGGCCTGAAAGAAACATCTGGCTTTGAGGAAAAGAAAGTGAAAGCACACAAAGGACATCATGTCACAAAATAGAGCAAAGCAGCCGTGGGAGGATTGAGATCATATATAGTGGAAGGATAGATATAGATTGAGAATCTTCTATAGTGCATATTCATGCGCTTGGGAGTCAAAAGCAGAAGGAAGGAAAGGCCTAAAGTAAAATTACAAAAAAGGAGAAAAGCTCACGAAATGAGTATACCTGAATGAATGTAATGATGAAGAAAGGGAATGACATGAAGCTTCGAATTTCGTCATTTAGTGTTCTAAGGATTTAAATGTACGTACCTAGCTCGTGGGCCTTCCATTTAAAAGTCTCTTACAGATAAAACAAACACTCACGGTGTGAATTTCAATTCATCGTCTAGCATTTTAAGCTTTTATGAGGTAGTTATATGGAAGCCTGTTGGAGCATCCAACACCCGATATTAAATTGTTATCTTGATTTAGGAGTCTCTTTTTCAGCGTCTCACATGAAAAAATGGGATCATCTTGGAATGTGCCACTGGTAGGTATATTTTACTGGAATCTTAACTTCAACGTTAATTCCGTATTCAATATACCACATTCAGTTTTAAATATAAGATTTAACTTATTTGCACTACAAATTAGATTTTATATTTAAAATCAAAGATAAGATTATAGCCTACTTCTTGGACACTAAATTTAACAACGAGGTTGACCTCACTAGATCAACCCTCATCCCATGTATCTCCACTTGTCGTTCATGGCATCACTTTTACTGATTTTTTTTATCATGATTTTATGATATATGAACTAAATATATATAAAAATTTTTTTACCTGAATTTATGTGAACATACTTATCATAAGCAAATTCAAACAAGTCCTGAACTTGCATCAAGTTCACTCTTGGTGAAAAGAGCAGTTTTGGATTCATAAGGCCTGGTTGGATCTACTTATAATAAGTGCTTACAAATATTTTTATGTAAGTCAAGACAAAGCTCTCTTCACATACTTTTCTCGTATTTAGTAAATTACAATTGAAAAGTTGCTTTTGAACGACCCTATTGTAATTCCAAACGAGCCCTTAATTTTGACATTTATCAAACTATTTGATTTTTATTTTAAGAATGTCATGATTTTGACATTCATGATTGATTATTTGAGTCATCCTAAGCTAATTATAGTTAACATCTCCTTGACTTTTTTAGGCACTGTTTAATACTTGATAAGTTTTCACATGCTCCACTTGTTATGGCACTCATGATGCCGATATTGACGTCAGCATCAAGATATAGCCATATGGGAGCTTCGCTTTCTTGATGTTGCTATACCAAATTACACTATATTGGTTCAATGGTCATGATGTTGTTTTTAAATATTGACATTTGGATGCGATTGTTTACATCATATTTAAAATTTAAAATTATAATTTTTCTAAAGAGATGTTTAGGGAATATTTTTATTTAAAAAATTTCAATATTAAACTAAAAATACATAATAATTTGGATATTTTAATATTAATTTAAATGATCCAGATTATTATGAAAATCCCAGGTTAGAATCCGTCTTCCTCTGCCAAGTTATTATTTACCTACTAAGTTAAAAATCCTACACATGATGTGCCATGCGCATTTTCTACGAATATAAAAATTTATAACTGCCACGTTTTTATTTTTGGGTTGCCCACTCAGTTTATCGAAGTTTTGCTCTTATTACATCTGGATCCGACCCGCGTCGCGTACCTGGCTGTGGTGGGTGAGTCTCCTAACAGGATTTCTGCATACGCAGAGACTCGAACTCGAGACCTTACTTAAAGCGGTACCAAACCGTTTACCACTTAGACCAACTCCCGTTGGTCTGCCACATGTTTTTTTTTGTTTTTGGCATAACTCAGAATATCCTCAAGCTACTGCTTCATGTGGTTTGAATTTATGTTCACGTCCTTATAGGAATGAAATGGCTTACCACATCAATAAATAACTTGTTAGTATTTTAGTTTTTAACCCTCCGGTCCCAAGAAAAGAAGTACAAATATACAACCTTTGTAGCCTAATATCGCGGACCCCTGAAAAAACTTTGGGCCTACCTGAGTTGGGCCATTTGAGCTCAACGTGTATGGTATGGGGCTTCTCATTGTTGGAAAAAAAAATGATGCCACCAGCTAACATTGACACCTGGGCATGGCCACAGCAGATGTCAACACATTTCTATTTTAGTATTAAAAATAAAATAAAAAAGTAATTTTATTAAACTTGTCGCGTACGGGATCTGTGCTGCAGCCCGCAAAAAACAAACCAAACATTCAAAGTCCCTGAGGGATGTCTTTTGTGACTTGCCTGCTGTGGCCGTGAAGTCTGAAGAAGAATCTTTACCTGTAAATCAGAGTTCCAAGTTCTCCATTTTCGTCTTGGATTCTCGAGCTGCGTCTGGTGATTCCGGAGGAAGAGATGTGGGTGTTTTACCTGATATCGCTTCCTCTGACACTAGGCTTGGTCCTATTCACCCTCAGGTATTTCTCCGGTCCACACGTTCCTCGCTTTGTGCTCTTCACCGTTGGATATGCCTGGTTCTGCTCCCTCTCCATTATCATCCTTGTGCCTGCTGACATCTGGGAGGTACTATTTTCTCTCTTCTTTTAATTCTCTTCGGTTTCTTGCTTGTTTTATGCTGCAATTTGAAGCTTAAAACCATACACTTGATTTAATTCTTGCGATTTGAGCCGTGATATATATTTTTTAATTTCATACATACAGACGATCTCTTCTCGCCATAAGAATGGAAGTATTTCATTCCTTTGGAGCTGGTCTTATTGGAGTACGTTTTTACTCACTTGGTATGCTTGCTCTGTATCATTATATGTTTGCATCAGTATTACTTCCTCATCACAGTATAAAACTTATCAAAATTGGTCGAGTTTAAACAGGACGGTTATGATCAAATGCTGAATTTCAACAGCACACAGTGACACAAAGCATTCATGCTTTTTTTCATTATCCTACGTTGAAAACCATTAAATTCAACTGTGTTTGAATAAGTACTGCAGAACATGTTATACCATACGGTAGTCTATATCTCTGTTTGTTACACATATTTTCAAAATTCAGGTGACTTTCTATATGTGCCACAAGCACCATGGTAATTTGATTGATTTCCTTGTTTGTGCTCTTACACACACACCGCACACACACACACTCATATGCTTCGTGATTGTTACATGGAGATTCTTTTAACTGATGCTAACAGATTGCAGATGCATTTCCTCATCTATTTGAATTGTGTCATCCTAAGCAGGGCTGTGGTGCCCCTTATTCAGGGTTATGAAGACGCTGGTGACTTTACTGTATCAGAAAGATTGAAGAGTAGTTTACATGTTAACTTGGTATTCTATCTACTTGTTGGTGCTGTTGGCCTGATTGGAGTCATTTTTCTCATTATCATGCACAAGACCTGGTTTGTATACATACCTTGAACCATGATTTGTTTTGGTGCATATTTTGTTTTGTTTGCCTGATATTAGCTCTAAGTTATTGATACCTGGAAATTTTCAATTGTTTTTGGGTAAAGCTTTTGATCTTCATTTGAAGAGCACCATGATTTCCTTATTATGCAGACGTTGTGGGCACGTGTTATACCCTTTTCTTTTGTGTGTGGGAACTTTTCATATTGTTTTCAAATGAAGCATCTCTCTCCATCTAAATAATTTTCTTCATTTTTTTTTATATACAGGAGTGGTGATCTTCTGGGACTGGCCATGGCTTGCTCTAATACTTTTGGACTTGTTACTGGTGCATTTCTTCTTGGGTATGGTTTAAGTGAAATTCCTAAAAGCATATGGAGAAATGCTGACTGGAGCACTCGCCAGAAAGTTCTTTCCCATAAAATTGCAAAAATGACTGTCAAACTTGATGATGCTCACCAAGAACTTTCAAATGCTATTGCTGTAAGAAATTTACTGAAGTTGTCAGTTAAATTTCTTTTACAATTTTCGCCCTTATTGGTTTTACATTCTGCATGTGGAAGCTCTCAAATTTTGTTCAACTTTTAGTTGCTCTAAAATTTATTACTTGCATTTTAAGAGTAATTATGTGCTGAACTATTGATTGTCTAGGCATCGTTCTTCATAGTTAATGCCAAATTAATCATATTTGTTCAGTAATGGCAAGTCTTCAAGTGAATTTGTGACAGTGAATTTTAAATTTCTAGTAGAAAACGCAATTTTAGAGATGTTTTGGCAGTTTTAATGTACTATCTGGAACTATTATGGGCCATTTGGTATAGTGCTAGGCATGGAAAGGGAAAGAATGAAAGTGAATGAACATCAGTCTCATGTCTCTGGATGGAAAGAGTAATAAAGAAGAATAGATACTGTCGAGTAATGATAACAAGGGTACAATAGATATTGCATATCTTATTTTTGGTGCATTGGAAATTGGTTCCCTTTGTATGCCAAACAGACCTCTAGTTATTAGTATATTCTTAAAGTACATTGCGCTAATTTCGATTTGATCTGTTTTACTTTGCATAGAAGATTTCATATTACTGTTTTGCTCATTTTGCTAGGGGAGAATCTTGTTACTCTGTTTTTCAATGTATCCTAAAAAATACCTCAGAGAGCCTAATTATGGTTTAATTTTTATAGATTGCCCAAGCTACATCAAGTCAGATGTCCAAGCGTGATCCTTTGAGACCTTATATGGATGTTATTGATAATTTCTTGACTCAGATGGTAAGGAGCTTGACTTTGCTTGTAGAACCAGATTTTCTTTGTAATGATTTAGATATAAATTTCAATTTCAGTTTCGGCAAGACCCATCCTTCAAACCACAGGGTAGCAGATTGGCAGAAAACGATATGGATTATGATACTGATGAAAAGTCAATGGCAACCCTGAGGCGTCATCTTAGGTTAGCTCGAGAGAGGTACTACAGGTATAAAAGGTAAGCAATAATCAGTTAGTCTTTTAGGGGTTAATTTTATTCACCAAACAAATTTGTTCGTAATCTTAAATTCCCTACAGCATTTTTATGGTTATATTCTTATGGAATTGAAACCCTCGTTCTCTCTCGTCGTCATGTTAAGGTAATAGATTTTTATCAAACTGATGAAAGAATGTTGACATTTTCATTCGTTGTTTTTTTTTTCCCCCACATTGCATATACCCATAATTTTATTTATTCAGTTCTTTTCTTTTCAAAGATAATTTTTATCTTCTATATAAACCAACGAATTTTACAACTCTGGTAATAAAATTGACTTGAACCAAGAAGAGTTTCAGCTTCGCTTCTTAGCCAACTGTCTCTAAAATTTTATCAAATGAGGCAATAGATTTGTTGTCTCTTATATGATGATCGAAGAGATAAATTGTTGAGAGAAATTCTGTCAGATAACTAGAATATTTTAATGCTTACATCATCCATTTAACCTATGACAATCGTAACATGAAGTTCTTGTCATTGGTGGTGTCCCAACCAGTGCTACCTTCTAGTGATTATATGAATGTTTGGTTTAGTTAAAGGTCTTGTATGTGTCTTGTCTTACGATGATGACTGCTTAGAATTTCTTTATAGCCATAATTAAAGTTTATTTGCAGTGAGTATTCAGCTTATGTACGGGAAGCTCTTGAATTGGAGGATACAATAAAGAGTTATGAACGCCACAGCTTAACAGGATGGTATGCTTCTAATGATTGCCTTTTTTTTTCCTCGTTTCATTTTGGTTTGGTTTTTGGAGGGCCAGCTCAATCATATATTACAGGTTGTCCCAGCTCGCTTTAATGTTTTGCCCTCTGCTTTCAGGAGATATATTTCAAGCATGAGACCTTCTCGGCCTGGCAAGTTGGGGAACCTCTTTGATTCTTTAGGTAATAGGCAGATTACTGGTCCGTTTGCTCTGCTGCATCAGGAATAATATTTCGAGTGAATGTTTTAGACTTTGTTTCTTAACTTGTATCAAGTAATTTTCTTCAAGGTCCCACGCACATCCACATTGTACTTATTCTGCATAGTGAGATATTGAGAAATGATTAGATGGTTTTAGAGTAGCTACCTGACAAAATAAGAGCAGACTTTTACATGGAGGTTTTTGTTGAATTCAGTATTTCAGTATTTTTCCTATGCTTCTCGTGTAACTGTGCCTGAAATATTATCAGGCCACTTGTATATTTCCAGCTACCACACTCACGAGCATCATAATCCTTCATATTCTTTCTGTTTGTTGGTTCCTATGGGAAGGACTTCTAAATAGCAATTATGTATTATATTTTTCTATTTTTTCTTGTAATCAAATGCCTACATACTTGTGCCTTTATTGGGTTTAAAAATGTTCTTCATTATCATCTTTCTTATGTCTACATTTTTATTGTGTCAAGTAATGTATTACTTCTTCTGCAAGGTTTATTCCATTCCTCCTTCGTTCAATGAATAATCAAATATGAAATAATTTAATCTAGAAGCACTTTGGGTTGAGGAATTAATTGCACTTCTTTGCAGAATATTTCTGGCGATGCATTTTAAGAAAGCACGTTGAGAAAGGGCTGGCTGCTTCACTTGGTACTCTGTCTGTCGCAATTCTTTTAGCTGAGGCAACTCTTCTGCCTGGTGTTGATCTATCTCTTTTCTCATTTCTTATAAAATCCGTGGGAACACGTGAGGTGTTTGTGCAGGTGAACCTAACTTCCTTAGACTCGTGTTTTTCTTAGTAAGCGTGAGATAGGCTGGTGGAAAATGGTTATCTTCTCTGCATATTATAACTTATTAATATCCCATTTTCCTGCTTCCCATTTCCCCTCTTACCTAGCACGACTATGTTGTTTTGCCCTTGGACATGATTAAAATGCTTTGATTTCAATATATTTAAGTGTGAGTGTATTTAATATCTTTGATTTAATACTACCTCCGGTCCTTATTATAAGATCTTGTTTGAATTTTATTTTGATCCTAAATATAAGACCTCAATCTACTTTGTCTCTAATATTTATATATTTTTTTCTTAGATAGTCCTTTTAATAATGATAGTTCTAGCCAACACACTTCATTAGTAAGGATATTTTAGGAAAGACAACACCTATTTATTACAAATAACTAACTTAACTTATTTTCTTAATCTCCTCAAATCAGTCAACTAGCTCGACCGGAGGTAGTATATGATATCACAAGGATTATATGCATTTTATGTGTGTATTGGTGAATTGCATGTGTACATTTCTTCTAGTATTGGTGGCTGCCTGTTCTCCCATGTTTCTTGAGCAGAAGAAATTTCATCCTAATTAACTCCATCAAATTCCTCTTAAAATTTCAGATAATCCATCTTTGATGGATGAAATGATTTGCTTTGAATGTAATTAGAACAAATGCAAGTCTCGCTTTGAATCTCACTTTAATGTTGCCCTTTCCATACAGCATCCATACATTAAGGTACAGATAGTGCATGTACTAAAATATCCTTTTTTTTTCACTAGGCATGTTCGTTTGTCCCTCTCATGTATATGTGCATCTGCACGTACTACTCCTTATTCAGAATTGGGAGGTTAATGTTCTACTCGTTGACACCCAGACAGACCAGCTCAGTTAGCTTGCTTATGATATGCTCGTAAGTTTTTCTTTTTTGCTTTTTGAATCACTAATGCTATCTTGAGAATGAAATATACTACCTTCGATCCTTAATATAAGACCCTGTTTGACTTTTATTTTGGTTCTAAATATAAGACCCCAATCCATTTTATCTCTCATATTTACTCAATTTTTTTCAAGATAGTCCTTCTAATAATTATAGTTCTAGTTAATACATTTGATTAGTAAGGATGTTTTAGGAAAGACAACACCTATTTAGGACAAATAACTAACTCAACTTACTTCCTTAATCTCTTCAAATTAGTCAACTAGCTCTTATAATTAGGACCGGAAGTATTATATTTTATCTTTGCTTCCTTGCAGGATGGTTGCTCGGTATGCTCCCCCTGTTTCATATAACTTCCTCAATCTCAGTTCCCTTGGTTCTGATAAAACCACCGTGTTTGAACAGGTTTTTTTTTTTTTTTTTTCCCAGTTCACATATGTAGTGGTTTTCTTTATTCGTTTCTTTTTTATTTTATTGTCCTAGGCAGTAGATAGTCCATTATTTTCTACCCACTTTAAGGTTTATTGTCACGGGTCTATTTGTCGTCTCTATATGCATTCATGTCTGGTTGCTTGACTCTGAGCACAACATTTCAACATGGAAATTTTTCATCAGAATATGACCTTTTCTCGTCTTAAAATTATTTATATTAAATTGTTGTGTCATGGGACTTATGATTGCAGCAAATGGGGAACATCAACAATGCTGTGCCTTTCTTTGGGGATAAGTTTAACAAAATCTATCCACTGATAATGGTTATATACACCCTTTTGGTTGCAAGCAATTTCTTCAATCGAGTACTTGATTTTCTGGGGAGCTGGAAGAGATATATTTTTGAAACTGAAGCTGAAGATATGGATGGTTTTAATCCAACAGGATTACTTATCTTACAAAAAGGTATTCAAGCCAACACTTTACAAGCTCGGCTGACTTGGTTTATGATATTACCTGGTCAGAATCGCATCATGCATGAATCGATCAACATTCTAGTAATTTCAGGTATTGATTCGTGCTTGATTGTTAAATTTTATTATTTTCAGAGAGGTTTTTGCTTGAACATGGGTCCAAAGTAGGTGAGCAAATTGTTCCATTGACAAGGACTCTCAACGGTATAGATATTGAATCTGGCAACAGTCTCATGGTACGTGGAGCTTTCGCTTTTTTTTCTTTTTTTTTTTCAGGGTACTGGAGCTTTCACATTTTTAATCCGCTTTGTGACATGTCTAGCATAGTGCTTAGTTTACTCATAACTGTTCGTTTCCAGGAGAGCAATATTGCAGAAATGAGAGTAAATTCCAATTTACTTGAAAAAATGAATGGAAATCCATCCAGAACCAGGAAGGATGAGATAAGAAAATATAGTTTGAGCAAGGAAGCGATCAGCAACAAGTATGCTGCTGTAAGAGAGAAAAGTGGACAAGCATCCAGATTTAGGCCCAAAGACAACAATATAGCCTCCACTAAGGTTCCGTTGCTTGATAGAGGCAATACTGATTCTGGCAATACCTCAGGGGGGTCAACTTCAGGTTTGGCTTCAACATGGCAAACTATGAAATCGGGCTTCGAGAGTTTCAAGGCTAACGTTACTGATACAGGAAGGTAACATCTCGTGATTACCCGTATGAGAGTCTGTGGTGAGATATTTCGAAGACGAAATCCGCCTTATCTTGGCCAATTCACAGTAGTAATGATTGATACGGAGACGATTACTACGGTAATGGGAATGTTTGACGTGTTGTGCGGAGTATTGGGAAAACGGGCCGGCCCGTGACAGGCTCGGGCTTAAACGGGCCGGCCTGTTTAAGCCCGAGTTTTAAAAATAAGTCATTTTTTCAAGCCCGGCCCTTGAGATGACGGGTTCGGGTTAGCCTGCGGGCTTCTGGTCTTTTTAATTAAAATAATTATTTTTATTTTTTTGTATATTTTATCAAAATAATAAAAATGAAACAATAAAAATTACTAATAAAAAGTATAAATATAAATAAAATTGAGTCACAATATAAACATTATCATGTCTAAACATATATTACAGTATAATAAAGTCTATTGAATAAACAAACTAAATAGAGGACAGACATAAACAACTAAATAAGCATTAAGTTCAGTAGATAATTACAATACGGATGATCTAGTTTGATTATAAATAATTAACAAAAAAGTTTAACTAACAAACATAGTATACATAAAGAATAATCATTTATCATACCGACAAAAAGAAAAGAGTCCATCATTCTTAGTTCTAAATTTGTTTCTACTATAAAAATAATATAGATCTTTATTTTAGTTTAAAAGATTTTTTGATCAATTATATTTCAAGTATAAAAAATATGGGAGAATGATAAATAAAGACTGTAAAAATTATAGATACAGTATTTTAATAGGTTTTGACAACTTATAAATAACAATATATTTTTATGAATATACCTAGTTTTAAATTTTGCAATTTTCATGTTTCTTTGGTTATTTTTCCCACAGCTATAGTGATTCTTTTTTTCTTTTTGTGAATGCTATTTATGTGAGCTGCCAAGATAAGTAAAACTAAGAGTATGATATGTTTAAAATGTTAGGGTTTTTTTTTTTAAGTTAAGAAAAAAAGATAGAAATTAAAAAAAATAATTTGGCGGGCCTAAACGGGCCGGCCCGCGACCTTACAGGGTCAGCCCGTTTATTTTTCGGCCCTACAGGGCTGGCCCTTTTAAGCCCGACTTTCTTTTCAAGGCTCCAAAATATAAGCCCGGCCCTCGATTTAAACAGGCTTAAACGGGCCGGCCCGATGAGCTCGGCCCGTTTTCCCGGCTCTATTTGTTGTGCCTGGCAAATCTTCAGTAGCTTACTTCTGGAACCAAATGCAGCCTAAAGATAAAGACGAAAAGATGGTCCTCTATAAATCAGTCTGTACAAATTGTAAATCTTGCGTAGGAGAAGATTCTAACAGCCGAGGACAGCGAGGTGATCTTTTGCCTGCCACGAATTCTTATTTCCGTTCCATTGATGATGCTTCTAGTTCTAGCATAACCTTCTGTAAGAGTACATTTACTTCTATTCCTTTTGGCAAGTCTCGCTTTTCTCATGAAAATGTGCAAGATTATATTTTTGGGATTTAATGTAATTGTAAAAATGAAGAAAGAGATACATTAGTGGGCTATTCTTATTTTCTGTTAGCCACTTAAGTGAAGGCAAGCACGAAAATGTACTACAATGTCCCCCCCCCCCCCTCTTTTCTTTGTTTTGAGTACACTGGAGTCACCGCTTTAGCAATAATTGGAATAAGCTATCATAATGCACTGGCTTTTATCCAAATTGTGGCGAGACGAGAGTGGGTTGTAATTTGGAAGGATGCTGGATATAAGGGTTCATCAGTAAACACTAATCTGTCAAGTAGAGGGAAAGTGGGGGAAATGGGAGAAACAGAAATTGGTAATGCCTGTGGTAGTTATTTTCACATCGAAATCAATCGATTTTTTCTTTTCCTGTTTTGGGCAGTTGCCAAAGGGGAAGCTCTTGGTGTCAACATGACTGTAGTTTGTAAGTGTGGAGAGTCCATGTTAAATGAACACTGTACATGTAAATGGGTTCAGTTTACGTAGTAACGAATAGTTCATATATGCGGGCGAGTTTGGAACCTTAGCTTAAGAAAAAACATTTTTACGTGAGTCAAGATAAAAAATTTTCTATGTGCTTATTTTGAATACTGTAAAATCACTTCTAAAAAGTTAATCCAGACATCCTGGTAAATGGTAATACTTCATATCCCAATGAAACACTCAGACTTGATTAATATTTATTCATGATCTCCCTCTCCAACTTAGGCCTAACATTCTAAAGTTCAGCCAGTCCTTGCTTCAACTTCTCTCCAATCAGTCTCAATATGGTTGGTTTTCTCATGGAATATTTGATTGGTTGCGGTATAAATCACTGCTTTGCTATCACAATGCGTCACTTAGTGTTCTATATTTGTGATCTGTGAATCCTTAAGCATACCCACAAACCATACAACTTCGGAAATAGCTGTTGCTCGTGCTCTGTATTCGACTTCAGCGACCTCAACCATGGATTGCATTTTATTATTTCCAAGTGATCAATGAACTGCCCATCTTTATCAAATACTACATCGTGTAATTAATATAAAACCCAATTAACTAATTTGAGAGATTAAAATGGTTATTAAATCGTTTAATTATAGCATATGTTACATGATCTCTCTAAAATATTTAGGTGTATCATTAGATTATACATCAATTTATAAGTGGGGCTAATTAGTTTGAAGAAAAATAATAAATATAGACACTTTAAAGTAATTTAGTAATTTTCTTAATCTTTTCAAATTAATTAATTAGGTTTTATATTAACAAGCGAAAGTAGCATCCTGTAACCCATATCTTGCCATCACAACGACCATCCCAGTCAGGATCACAAACATTATAAATACAGAAGACAGAAATTTTTCACAGCCAAGAGTTGTCCTTTACACAGGCAAGACAACTGAAGCATCGAAAGGCCCCAAGGTAAGAGGAAAACAAACTTGTACATTGGCAAACAAAAACAAGCTAGCATCCCAAACACCAAACGACCCACAAAATGAAGTAACTTTTTACTGAATCTCTCAACCTTCTATTACTCTGAGTCTCTCGACAACTCATCCTTTTTTCTTCCTCACCCTCTTCTGCTGCTGACAGCTTCTTATTTTGTTCCATAGGAATGCTGTATGGCTCTGCATCTCCTAAGCCAACATTAGCAGTTAAATTCAGAGTATAGTTTCCGTTGATTGATCACAATCTTAGACCTAGTTAATTATAACCCAAGAAGATATTTTAATGTGCCCGACTTATTTATCTTAAATCAGCTGTGTAAGTACTGCTTAGTTGATGCAATTATTCCCCCATCATTACCGGTTATAATGAGATCATTTACATAAGCTAGAATCATTGCTATCTCTGTGTCCTTTCCTTTTGTTAAACAAGGAATAATCATATTTGCTTTGCAAAAAACCATCTTGGATTAAAGCTTTTGTTAGTTGAACATTCCATTGTCTTGATGCTTGCTTAAACTCATATAAGGACTTGAGAAGCCTACATACCTTTTTCTCACCACTGCTTTCAAGTCTCTCTGTAAGAATTATACTCTAATTATTTATAACATCCGAAGTCAAGACAACCTTATTATTATCATTTTGGAGAAAATGTCTCATACTAGTTTATTCCTTCTTTTCGGATATATCCTCTCACAACTAATCTGGCCTTAAACCTATCTATAATTTTGAATATCCATTTACAGCCTATAGCCCTTTTCATGGGATAATACTACCAACTCCCATGTGTGATCATATAGTCTAATGCTTTTAATCTCCTTTTGGACAGCACTAACCATCCTTTATAGCGCACAGTTTCCTCACATGTTTCTGGTTCCAAAATGGCATCTACATTTTATACAAGTTAAAAAGTGTTTATAAAAAGGATAATATTACAAGATATCACATAATTAACCATGAGATATGGAGTTGAAGCGTGTGTTTGTGAATCAACAGTAGAACAATCATAATTCCGTAATCAACTAGGTTGTTTGATTCCTTTCTCTCACTGAGTAAAATAAAAAGTGGAATCCTTGTAAGATTTGAAGACATTGTTATTAAAGTACTAGTAGTAACTAGATTTGAACCCTAACATTCATTTTCAAACTATTTAGAAGTTATATACGTTTTATACATTGCATAGTTTTAAAGAAAAAGATAAAAACTGTAATTTGTTACAAATTTTATATTTTACATAGATCACATTTGATTAGAAAATTCTACATGAAAAAATGGAAAAAAAAAAAGGAGTAGAGATAGGGATGTACTACCTCCGGTCCTTAATATAAGACCCTGTTTGACTTTTATTTTGGTCCTAAATATAAGATCCCAATCCATTTTATCTATCATATTTACACATTTTTTTTCAAAGTAACCCTTCTAACAATGATAGTTTTAGTCAATACACTTGATTAGCAAGGATATTTTAGGAAAGACAACACCTATTTAAGACAAATAACTAACTCAACTTACTTTCTTAATCTCCTCAAATTAGTTAATTGGGTCTTATAATTAGGACCGGAGGTAGTATAGCAGGCAGGTCTCGTTGTTAGTTCTCTTCTTCTCTCTTTAAAGCTCAGACAGATGGTGTACACTGAGTGTAATTAAATTGAGAGTGAAAGAATTGGGTGACTTTCAAAAGCCAACAAAGTCTTTGTTTACTTCTTTTCTCACTTTTCGCTTTCATCCCCTTATTGCAATGCTTTGATCAGTTGATGTGACACTACTCTCTTCTTTCCCATCATCCTTCCCTCCCTTCACTTTGCTTGTGTGCTACTCTCTCTTTTACACTCTCTCACTTATCAAATATAAGCCTCATTTTGGGAACATTCTCTATTATCAACCCTTTGCACAGCCCCAATGATATTTAATATTGCTTTTCAAAAAGGTCTGTTAAAAAAACTCCAAATTATTGAATCCAACTTTAAAACTCCATTAAACTCAAATTATCGGATACTAAATATAGATACTTATTGGTTACTTTAATTGAGTTTAATCGTTTATCAGCGTGTGTTAATCAATATAGGGAGTTTTAGTTATATCCCCGGCCTTCTGTACAGCTGAGAGATGGGGGGCACGCGCTTCTAATCGCGAGTGGATGGAATCTCACATGGCTTCAGTGGGCAAGTTAGCCGTTACTTTCAATGGGCCTTTCTTGCCCCAATTTCTATGTACTTGGGCCCCCACCTACCTTAGACGCCTTTCTTTATGGGCCCCACTCTAAGGGTATCTTTCATGACTGGGCCTGGCCCACTACCTCACTACCACGTCATCCATGCACTGCCAGTACTCTTACCTCGAAATCACTTTCACTTCATTTCCCTGGCTCCACCAATCCAAAAGAGTGAATCACACTCAAAACTTTTCTTCCGCTTTTGAATTCACTTTTTCAAATTATTATTTTTATCTTTCAATTTTTAATATGCATCATGAAAAATTTCAAAATGAGTTACAATTTTCATAATTTTATTAATAGTATGATTTGTTATATATATATTTATTGTTTTTACATGATTATCCAACTGAATTAGACTTGGCTATTTTTAGGTGCAATGGGGCAGCTCTCCCTCTTTTTTTTCAAGTATAATTCAGAGTATTTTTAAATTATTTTGGCCCTGAGATTAATATCTATCAGGCCGGGAGCGTTAAGGTTAAAGCCTTCCCAACAAGTACGTTTTTTAAAATTTAAACTTGTATTCTCTTTTTTATAGGAACGAAACCGCTTATCATTTCAACATCTTCCTCTTATTCCAAAAGCCTCTCCTTCATTCACACAGTTCAAAACCTTATGCTTAAGTGGCCAAAATCTCTTTCATTGGAATCGACGTCTGCTGGTTTGTGTGTATACCGATGATATTGATAATTTGTATGATATAAAATGGATCAATATCAAGGGTTTTGATATATGTTGCATTTTTTAAATGAATTTTAAATAGCGTAATTTTCCATAAAGTTTATATTGATAAAATAATTTTTTTATACATCACGAGGTTTAAACCGTTTACCTTTATCCACATCCTCTCCCACCCTTATCGACAGAGTAATACAATGATTTTAGTTTTAAAATGACAATGATTGCAAATAAATTACAACTAAATGTTAGTATGAAATTAAAATTGTATTTGCAATTTGGCTCTATTAATAATTAAATAATGTTAAATAAAAAAGATATTACATGTAATTCAGTTAAAATTTCAAAATAAAATATAATGGGGGATTAATTATATGACTATATAATTTAATTTTAGGCTTAAAAAAATTTCCTTCTTACAAGCCCCCAAAACACAATACTCAGACTTTGGAAGCACTTTTGTCAAAATGTTGTTGTGTGTCATCATCATGACAATAAATAATCAAGTAAATAAATAGGCTGCGAAACCGGAGCTTCACATGATAAATATTGTGGATATTCCACAGACAATAAATTAATCATGTGTGGTGAGATACAATGCATGGACAAAGTTAACAAGACAGATAAAAACAATCATACCAACATTAAAATATTGTAAAATTAATTTTATATTGTGTGGATCGGAATAAAATAGGAGATTTTATGCTTTGTGGGCAGATTTTATTGGCATATT